TAAAATGGCAAAGTTGGACTAGATGACTTCTAAGGCACCTTCTAGCTCAAATTCCTATTACTGGAACTATGCTTAGCCCCAAAGCAAAGTGAAGGGGAATATCTAGAAAACAAAGATCCCATCTCATAGATCACAGAGCCCTGGAAAGCACAAACTTTAAGCTGTTTCCTACTGGGGTGATTTTCCCAGAATTAATATGCTTTCTTCCACTGCAGTCTACTACCTCAACCCCTAAATTTTTATTCTATGAAAATTGTTTGCAAGTCACTTTCTGGTTTAAACCAGTCAAGGTTTTCCAGCCAATACTGAATGATTCCTTCCTCTCTTCCCACGTCCCCACCCCATCCCTTTCCAGTCAGACTCAAAACTTAACACCTCATTCTGGGGAATAAAGGAGTTGGAAAAGTATTAGAAAGGAAAAAAAACTGAGGACAGTTTTTTCAGTTTGTTTTGTTCTGTTTTGTTTTGTGTTTAGGTGCTTTGGAGGGACCTTTGACTGCCCAGCTCAATCTTCTCAGCCTCTTTCTATTACTTAGGAACAATTTTCCTTCTGAAATAACTTGCATTTCTGCTATACTTCAAGGTTTACAAAGCACTTTACCCACAGCAACTCTGAAAGGAAGATAGTATAAGCATCACTATATCCATTTTACAGATGACAAAACAGAAGCTCAGATAAGTTAAGTGACTTAATCTCACAAAGTTAGAGTAGTGTGGTTGGTGTGTCAGATGGAGGCTGGAACACCTGGGATCAAACGTAGTCTCTCCTACTATGAACCATATGACCGTCAAATCTCTTCGCCCAACTGGGGCTGTAAAATAGGGTATGATAATGTTAGCACAACATCACAGTGCTTTGTAAACTATAAAAATGCTTTGTAGCTATTAGTTATTAATTTAATGCAGGGGTTCTTAGTCTTTTTTTGCATCCTTGACACCTTTGGTGGCTCTGGTAAAGCCCACGGACCCCTTCGAGGAATTCTGTTTTTAAATTTTGTTGTTCAGTTGTTTCAGTTGAGTCCAATTCTTTGTGACCTTATTTGGGGTTTTGTTGGCAAAGATAATGGAGTGGTTTGTCATTTCCTTCTCTAAATTTTTACAGATGAGGAAACTGAGGCAATCAGCATTAAGTGACTTGCCCAGGGTCACACAGCTCTCAAGTGTATGAGGCCAGAATTGAACTTAAGGAGATGAGTCTTCAGGCAGCTACCTGGTGCAGTGGACAGAGTGCCCGGCCTAGAATCAGGAAGACTAATCTTCCTGAGTTCAAATCCTGTCTCAGATACTTACTAACTGTATGACCCTGGGCAAGTCACTTAACCTTGATTGTCTTGGTTTCCTCATCTGTAAAAATCTGGAGAAGGAAATAGCAAACCACTCCAGTATCTTTGCCAAGAAAACCCCAAATGGGGTCAGGAAGAGTCAGACATGACTGAAACATCTGAACAACAGCAACAGTGAGTCTTCCTGACTCCAGGCAAGGTATCCACTGTGCCACCTAGCTGCCCCATGTTTTTAAATGCATAAAATGAAATACCAAGGATTATAAAGAGATCAATTATATTGAAATACAGTAATAAAAATATATATTATATATATATATTTAAAAATTCCGTAGACTCCATCCCAACAGCCTGTTTTAATAATGTCTATTACAGATCTATAGTCACGTGAGTTTCTTTGTCCTTCATGTCTATTAGACTGAGTTTTACAGTATGGTTCATTCGGACACTAGCCACACATTTACTGATTGAATTGGCCTTGGCAAGTTTCTAAAGCTTGCTCCCAGTGGAGCCTGCAGAACTTCCAAGCATGGAACACCACTTAGTTTTTGCCAGAGCTGGCAAACACATGAGGACAGAATAAACTTTCAAGTAAAACAATGAAAGCTTATTATGGTTTTGTGACTCGTACACCAGCGTCCAGCAGGAGTAGCCTTATTTTCAGAAAAGGAGTTTAGCCAAAAAGAAGAAGGGAGAGGGGCCGGGAAGAGATAGATTTTTGTCCTCCCCTTGATTGAATTGAAGCTGAAAGTCAAGAATTAACAAAAGGGGACGAGGAGAGGTAAACAGGGCACGGCAGAGTGCATGCTAGCATTGGAGTCAGAGGTTGAATTGTTGAGTCGTTTTTCAGTCATGGCTGACTCTCGGTGACCCCATTTGGGATTTTCTTGGAAAAGATACTGGAGTGGTTTGCCATTTCCTTCTCCAGCTCATTGTACAGATTAGGGAACTGAGGTGAATGTGTTAAATGACTTACCCAGGCTCCCATAGCTAGAAAGTATCTGAGACAGCATTTGAACTCAGTTCTTCCTGATTTCAGGCCCAGGTCTATCCACTGTGCCACCTAGCTGCCCTTTGGAGGCAGAGGACTGGTTTCATATTGAAACTCTTCTAATTACTACCGTGGTAATATTGAGAAGGGCAGCTAGGTGGCTTAATGCATAGAGCACTAAGCCTGGAGGTAGGAAGACCTGAGTTCAAATGTGGCCTTACTAGGTGGGCAAATCACTTAACCTTGTTTGCCTCAGTTTCCTCATCTGTAAAAATGATCTGGAGAAGGAAATAGCAAACCACTCTGGTATTTCTGCCAAGAAAACCCTCAAAGCGTCACCAAGAGTCAAAGAACAACAGGCTTGAGAAAGCCACTTAACCTCCATAGGGTCTCAGTTTCTTCATTGGTACATGAGGATCTTGGACTAGAAGCAGGGCTTCTTAAACTTCTTCCTCTCACGACCTCTTTAGCACTTCTTTTTTTTTCTCTCTTTTTTTTTAAAATTTAATTTTATTTTTTAAAAAATTTTTTTTCCATATGCTTTTGAGTTGAAAATTTTTTCTCCCTTTTTCTCCCCCCCCCCAAGACAGGGCACAATCTGACATAGGCTTTACATTTACATACCCATTAAACATATTTTCACATTAGTGAAGTTGTAAGTAAAAATTAAAACCAATAGGAGGAACCATCAGAAAGATGAAACAAAATTCAACTTAAGGTAAAAATAAGTGAGAGCGATTCGACTTCCATAGTTCTTTCTTTGGATGTGGACAGCATTTTCCATCCCGAGGCCTCTGGAGATGTCTTAGATCCTCGTAATGCTGAGAAGGGTTCAGTTTAACATTCTTAGTCATTGCATAACGTGGCTGCTATTGTATACAAAGTCCTCTGGGTTCTGCTCACTTCACTCAGCATCAGACCATATAAGTCTTCCCAGGTTTTTCTCTTCAGCACTTCTTAAACTGTGAGTTGCAATCCCATATGTGGTCAGTTTAAACTAGAAGACTTCTTTTAAGGTTCTTTCCAGCTCTATTAATTGATTGGTCATCTGAATCCACAACCATGTTGGAAGTAGCACTGGGATTCAACAAGCCTGGGTTCTGGTGCTGGCTTTCTGCTGCTGCTCAGCTCTGTGACTTTGGGTAGAGCTGTTTCCTTCCATGGTGCCTCAGATTTCCCCTTTCTAGGATAAGAGAATTGAATTCTAGTTCTAGATTTCTAGTTCTAGAATATGGGGGGAATTGGGGTGGGGAAGCAAAAACAGCTTCCTGTTTTTATACATCTATGGACTAAGAATGGTTTTTACATTTAAAAATAAAGTTATGGTATTTAAAAATGTAACATAACCCAACATTTTTAGCTCACTGGCCACATGAAAACAGACAGGACTGGATTTTGTCTTCTGGCCATATTTTGCTAGATCCAGGACTAGATGGGCTCAAGGGTCTCTTGCAACTCAGATTATTCTATGGTTCTGTAGATCTGACTCGGTCAGATTTCTTTCCTCACTGTGGTCCATTCTATTCTTCTTGAGATGGTCACTTAAAAACAACCCAACTCAATAACAACAAGTCCCCCAAACCAAATAAATGGACAAAAACCTTACATGTTGATTCAAGAGTGGATTTTTTTCTTAGGAGTAGAAAGGCAGCTAGGATGGCTTAGTTAGATAGAGTACTAGATGTGGAGTCAGGAAGACCTGAGGTTGAATCCGGCCTAACTTACTAGCTTTGTGACCCTGGGTGAGTTATTTGGCCTCTCTTAGCCTCAGTTTCCTCATGTGTAAAATGGGGATAATAATAGCACCTACTTTCTAGGATTGTTGTGAGGATCAAATGACGTAACATATATACAGTGTTTTACAAACCTTAAAATGCTACATAAATATGAGTTATAATTATTTTCCCCTCCTCTTCACCAATACCCTTTCTTCTCAATCAAGCTACTCTAACTACATTAGCTAATGTTCATTTATTCCTAAGTGTCCCCTCTTTGAGCTGGATGTCCAAAGAGTCAGACAGGGCCCTAGGAAGAGAAGATATTTATCCCCTTTATTCTTTAGAGATTTTTCTTCATGGCCATCTGAGAGAGGATGGTGTGTCTCTTTCTACAGTATCCTTTCAGGGTTTGCCAGACTATCGTTCGGTTTGGGAACCACTGTTGAAACCGTACTGCCCATTTTTATTATGGTTAAGTCCCAACTTGTCAGACAGGCCGAATGGTTATTCGTAGGATGTTTTCCTTCTCCCATGGATCAAAGGAAATTGGTTGTGGTTTGGGGAGGGCCATATGTTAGGGTTCTTTTTACAATAAAGGGGAAGGGACCATGATACATGATGTCCCTGACCCTATATTCCAAGCTAAATCTGGGAAATGGACGTGGGGATAGATAGGATGGAAGTTGACTTCTCCATCTACAAATGATTCATGATTCATTCAATTAGCAAAGACTTAATGTTGAATGAATGAATGAAATAACTTGAGAGTAACACTTTTGAACAAACAGCTCCTACCACTTGTCAGGCACTGCAAGGTGCTGGGTATAAGAGATAGAGAGAAAAAACTGAAATAATCCTGTCCTTAAGGTTCCTACATTCTGGAGGGGGCGAGGAGAAGGAGACAGAGCATAACACACACACACACACAGAGATTAGTAAATGCAAAATACGTACAAAGTTATCAAAGAAAATGGTTTTATTTATTCACATGATCTCTTCTCTCCACAGAGCTTCTTCCCACTCTTGCTAGAGGCAAATTCTCTCTGCAAAAATTTCCTCTCAGGTGAGTTTTTTTTTGCAGCCATGTTCATAATAAAAGCAGGCATTTTTAAACAAATCACTTAGCTTTCTGCAGGGCTCTTTGATATGTCAACATGTGTTTGATTTGTTCTCCATTGCCTCCCTAGCTGCCTTGTACTGTTACTACCCAAACTGGTTGCATACTTTTGCATAGGTTTTCCTCATCATAGCCTCATTGAGAGAGTCTCTTGGTTCCTTCATGTAGAGAGGAGGCTGAGGCATTGATGTTGGGAGTGGTTCAAGGCCATCTGGTTTGTCAGAGGCCTGGTTCAAAGAGCTTTCTCTAAGGCACTGGGGTAAGACGTTGTCATTTGGAAACAAAATGAACCATAAGTAGCCACACCCAGGTAACTAATAGCGCTGCATAGCACTGCATATGACTAATATGGATGTCATAGGTATGGTCCCTTTAATCTGGTTAGGGAGAAAGGAGAAAGCAGTAGAATCTCAGATGGACAAAAAAGACCAGAGGTGGTCCTGTGTGGTGTTCTCCGAGTGCATCTGGACCCTAACTTATTGGGCAAAAGGATAGAAGATGCAGTTTATACAGTATATCATCCTTATAGCACTCACCCAGCATCCCTGGCAAGATGGAGCCCTCCTGAGGTCTCAGAAGCTATCAAATACAGGCCCTTCATTTTACAGATAAGGAAACTGAGGCCAAGACACTCCATAATATTTCCATGGGTTACATAGACGCACACTATTAGAGGTGGAATTTGAACCTAAGACTTTTGACAGCACAGTGAATATTCTTTCCGTTCTATGAAGTAGCCTTCCAACAGTGGGAGCTTGGTGCAAATCACACCATATTCTCTCCTCACTCACAAACCATCTTCCATTTTTATTCAGGAAAAATCAAGTTCAAAAAAACATCAAAGGCAGCTTTAATGGGGAAGAGGAATCAAAGGGACTACCTTAGGTGTGAGTTCCTTGAGAGTAAGGATTGTTTCTTTTTTTTTTTTTGGCTTTATGTCTGTAGCACCTAGGACAGTGCCTAGACATAGCAGTTGCTTAATAAATATTTGTGGAATTGGATTACATTGAATTGAATGCATGGAAAGATATGAGAATACGCCCACCCCTTTGCCTTGGAAGGGCATGGAGGTTGCTGGGTGACATATATAAATATGAGACTCAGATCTATCTTACCAGCTTATCAGAAAACTAAATCTTCCCTAAGTTATAGCCCTTGTTGAGTCACATCTGACTCCTCGTGACCCCATTTGGGGTTTTCTTGGCAGAGATACTAGAGTGGTTTGCTATTTCCTTCTCTAGCTCATTCTAAAGATGAGGAACTAAGGCAAACAGGGTGAAGTGACTTGCCCACGGTCACACAGCTAGTAAGTGTCTGAGGTCAGATTTGAACTGAGGAAGATGAGTCGTTCTAACTCTGGGGCTGGTGCTCTGTGCACTATATCACCTAGCCGCCCAAGTTATAGTCCAGCCACCATCAACCTAGCCTATTTCAGCCCAGATTTGTTGATCAGGGAGAAGGCCAAAACTCCTGCTAAAAGTGAATTTTCTAGGTTAGCTGGAAATCCATGAATTTCATCTTACCCCTCTCCCACATTCCCAATAATAACAAGAATTTAGATGATCTCAGTCCCAGATGCAGCATTTTGGGTTTGCAGGACACATAACAACAGATTTCCCTGGTTTGCTGTTCCTGGCTATACATTTATACTTCGAGCCTATTGCACTCTGCAGCCCTTTATGAAGAGGAGAGTCCCAGGACCGGAGATTGAGAAACAGAGCATTTAGATTCTGGCAAATCTGTGCTCTAATCCTGAGAGAGCCCTGCTCTTGTTTTTTAAGGATAGCATTCTTTTGGGTCACCAACAGGAAATACACAGTGTCCCCAAACAATCATGGTTTTCTATTTCTGTTGATTGCACTTCTGTAAAGTTAAGATATTTTCCTTTTATGTTTTTTCCCAATTTCCCTGCTCCCTAGGCTTCTTCTCCATCCTCAGAACTGACAATGAAATCATACCGCAAGTTGCCTACCCATGTGACTCATGCCCCTGGCCCTTATGGTGAGGAGGAAGAAGAAGAGGAAGATGAGGGAAATGAGCCTGGCTCTCCTCCTGCCAAGAAGACCCTGTCTCCCAGGTGGCAGTGGCTAGGGGTTGCTGTGATAATGGGAGCTGGCCTGTTGGGAGGCACCTTCTGGGCCATCAGTGTGAGGAGACTTCCTGTGGAGCCCCCAGGGAAGTGTATCTCTGTTCCTGAGTCCCAGCGATTTGACTGCTACCCTGAACGGGACACAGTGGTGACTCCAGAACTCTGCCAGACGAGAGGTTGTTGCTTCCTGCAGAGCAGCAGCCGGGGAGGGCCACCCTGGTGCTTCTACCCCCCTGATTTCCCTAGCTACACCTTGAAGACATTGAACAGGACTGAGCTAGGTTTCCTGGGTGTGCTGATGAGGACAGTGAAGACCTATTACCCTCACGATGTGCTAGAGTTGCAACTGCAGGTGGATTTGGAGACAGATACCCGGCTACACATCAAGGTGGGAGAATTATGTCCTTCCATTCATCTTGGATAGTAGAATCACAGATTTAGGACTAGAAGGCAGCTTGGAGAATCTCAGTCTAGTCTAGCTTCCCCATCTTAAAAATGTGGAAAATGAGGCCTAGTGAGATTAAATGACTTTCTCAAGGACACACACGCCAGGGCTGGAGTCAGGAAGACTTATCTTCCTGAGTTCAAATCCAGCCTCAGACACTTACTAGCTGTGCAACCTTGGAAGCTCTGTTTGTCTTAATCCACTGGAGAAGGAAATGGCAGACCACTCCAGCATCTTTGCCCAGAAAACCCCATGGACAGTATGGTTCATGGAGTCACAAAGAGTCATAAATGACTCAACAACAAGAAATTCTGGGTGAGGAAACTCCCTCTAGCAAGCTTGGCAAACTATAGTCTTGAAGTGTTGCCTGGTGGCACTGAGATACCCTAACCTGCCCAAGGTCCCATAGCCAGTATGTGTCAGAGACAGCTTGAACCCAGGCCTTCCTGATGAGAAGGCCAATGACAAAGGTCTGGATCCGTGATTTTATCCGGGTGGTGAATACCTGGTCTAGAACTTAGCTTAACTGTGTTGATCAGCTGCTGGTCTTGTCATCTTAGAGATAGCTGTCTGGGGCCACCGGAAGGGTCAGTGACTTACTTGCCTGTGGCCACACAGCCAGTGTGTGTCAAAGGCGGGACCTGAAATTAGAAATTAGCCTATTTCCAAGCTTTGTCCCAGAATGTATGCCTTGGACAATTTTCTCTCGGCCTCAGCTACTTCCCACTTCACTCTGCCAGTGTGACTGGCAACTTTCAGATGAGGAGGTCAGGAAGACTGTTCCTGGGAGATAGGAGACATGAGGTGGTGGTGTAGGGAAAAGGGAAAAGGTGGGGGTGGGGTGGCAATTAGTCTATTTGCCTCACAGAGAGACTCAGCAGACTCCCTTCTCTCCCTACCCCCCACTCCTTTTCTTTCTTCCACATGAGATGTTACAACTAAATGCCATGTGGTCACTTCTGCTCTCCTTCTCTTTGTCACAGCTGACTGATCCCAACAACTCCAGATATGAGGTGCCTCTGGAAGTTCCCTCAGCCACGAAAAAAGCAGAGAATCCCCTCTACAGCCTTGATTTCTCCAGGGATCCCTTTGGGATTTTGGTGAAACGTCGGGGGTCAGGAGTTGTACTGTGAGACTTCCCTCTGGTTTTTCTCTTTCTCCATTTGAGAGTGTTTGCATATGTTCTCCTTCCACCATTTTTGTAAAGGCCTGCAAGCCCTGATCTACCTGTTCCTGAGGATGCCCCTGAAAGGAGTGGGTTAGTTTATCATCAGACTTTGACTCATGTTTTTAGGCCCAGCCTTACAACAGCTCAGCTAGCATGCTGCACTCTAGAGCAGTCTAGAGTACTAGAGTATTCTAGGTGTCATATTCGAACCATATTAAAATGTAAATGGGAAAAGTTTAACAAAAATAAGTAAAAATACAGTAAGACATAGATAATGTTAATTTGTGGTTTTCTAAGTCATAATGCAGCCTGCAGGGATCTGCGTCTATTAGAGTGTGACACCATTGCTCTAGAGTACCGAATGACCCGTAAGGTTAGGGATATCTAGAACCATATATTAGGGGAGATATCTCTCACCATTCTCCCTTGACTGCTGTTTACTTGCAGAAGACCTCTTTTGCTCACGGCCAATTGAGTTCACTGCAGGCCTTTCACTGTCTTGAGGGTTAATTGCTCTTGGAATGAGGCAGCCGTGTGGCATAGTAGATTGAGTGTTAGACTTGGAATCAGGAAAATTTGAGTTCAAATCCTACCTCAGACACATACTAGTTGTGTGTCCCTGGGCAAGTCATTTAACCTCTAAGATTTTCTCATCTATAAATTGGGGATAACAATAGCACTGACCTCAACAGGGTTGTTCTGAAGATCAAATGAGATAGTATAAGTAATGCACTTTGAAACCTTAAAAAGCCATAGAGATGTTAGCTATTATTATTATTCATCTCAGCAGAAGGGGACCTTGGAGATCAAAAAAATCATAGACTGTTTGAGCTAGAAGGGACTTTACAGGCCATGTCGTCCCACCCTCTAGCTTTACAAAGGAAGAAATTGAAGCCCAAAGAAATAAGATGTCTTGCTCAAGCTGATCAAGCCAGATGATTAGTGAAGAGCTGGTTCTTGAAGCCAAGTCTGCTGACTTCTTTCCAGTCCAGTGATCTCTCCCCTCTGCTACACTACCTTCAGTGGTATGTAAGGAAGGGAACCCTCTGAATGCCTTTGTTCCAGGAAGCTAACTTGGGGCCAGACTTCCTTCATCCTTACCAAGTCCACTGCCTGAGAAGTTACTCTGATTTTGGGCAATACCTCATTGGATACAGGAGCCAGGGTGTGAGAAGAAGTAGTTGTGCTCCCAGTCAGAAGCATACCACATCAGTAGAATCAGAAATAGCTCAGAAGATAAAACCCTTGACTTTTCTCCCTCTAATTTCTATGCATCAATTTCCTTTTGCATTGATTGGCTAGAAGTCTTAGCTCTTCCCTCCTTGCCCTACCTCTCCCCTTTCTCACCTTTCCCTCTGAGCCCTGAGTGTCCCCCTCGCCTCATTAGAATGGAGTTCCTGCCATCACAGTTCCAACTAAAAACCACTTTCATATAAATTTTAATTAGCAGAGAAAACAATTGACACCTCCACTTGAGATTGAGACTGAGTCTTTCTAACTTTAGGGTCAGCCCCATTCTCCCCTCTTGATACTCAACACTTGTTAAACCTACCCCTGCCTCACCCCCCCCCCACATACACATACTTCTCCTTCCCCCTCCTCACCATCAGCTAAACATGAAAGTCCAGACCTTACTAGCACTGCTGAGTCATGGTTTGGAAACCCAATAGTGATGGCTGCTGCTTTTTCAGCAGTTGGTGAAGTCTTTGCTAAATATAGTTAACATTCAACCATTGGTGAAACACTTTGGTAAAAGAAATGTGGCAGTTCTTATAGAAAATGTAATGGGCTTACTGAGATACTGTGTTATAGAGTTATAGATTCACACTTTCCTTTCCTCCCCCTCCTCCCCGTCCATCCCACTTTCCCCCATGATCTCCCTTTTGTGCTTCCCACATTTTTTTGTTTTCCAAAACCCTTTCCCTCATTGTATCTGTTGCTTTCCCCTTTCTACCTTTTCATTATCTCCCTTTCTCATTCCTTCCTTCCCTCCCCCCTTCCATACCTCACTTCTTCTCCTTCCTTCCCTACCCCTTCATACCTTTCTTCTTTAGGTTGAACACAACTGTGGCCCCATTAATCTTTGCTGACCAGTTCCTCCAAATTTCCGCCCTTCTTCCATCTGCGTTCCTTTATGGGCTGGGGGAGCACCGCCGTGGCTTTCTTCACCACTTGGACTGGACCACCCTGAGTTTTTGGGCCCGGGATGTCCCACCTACGGTAGCCATTTTCCATTGTCCATTTCCTAACCTCATTCCTGTTCCATTCCCCCTAACCTCCCACCCCAACCTACCTCGGGTTATATTTTTAGTCTATAAGGTTCTTTCCCACATCCTCCTAGAGGGCCATCAGGTGGCTAAGCCCTTAACCTTTTGGTGAATGGGATTATTTCCAATGAGTACTTTGAGTATGCTTAACATCTGGGTATGAGGATCTGAAATTCACAGCTATGAGGAGGGTACCTTTTTCTAGCGGCCTAAGGGAGCTGAGGGCAGCCTCTGGTAAATAACTTTGTAGTTTCCCCAATAAAGTCTCTTGAACATTTCAAAGCCAGAGCCATCTGGTACTCCAGTCAAAAGTATGGTATTAGAACTTTCTAGGGTTCTGGAGATTTCCAGTCTGGATACTTTGCCAATGTCCCTGTCTCTCCAGGCCTGTGTCCTATTCCCTAGAGTTATATGGCTCCATTATTCGTCTTATAGGAAAAACTTGTCAGAACATCTCTGCATATATGATCTCCTCTGACATTCCCTGTTGACATCAACACAGAATTTTGGAGCCAGAATGAATCTTAGTGATCATTTAGTATAGCCTCTTCATAGGGGCAGCTAGATGGTGCAATGGATAGAGCGCCAGGCCTGGAGTCAGGAAGACTCATCTTCCTGAGTTCAAATCTAGCTTCAGACCCTACCAGCCATGTGACCCTGGGCAAGTCACTTAACCTTGTTTGCCTCGGTTTCCTCATCTGTAAAGTGAACTAGAAAAGGAAATGGTAAACCACTCCTGCATCTTTGCCAAGAAAACCCTAAATGAGATCATGAAGAGTTAAACATGACTGAAAAACGATTGAACAATAAATTTCATTTTATAGATGAGAAAACCAAGGCCCAGATAATGGAACATCCCCCATGGAGTTAGAGATGTGTCATTGAAGCCACACTCCTTCCTAGGTTCCAGTATATCTGCTTTCCTGTAGTGCTTTTCTTTTTCTCTCTCCTTCCCTCCCTTCTCCATTCCTGTACTGTTTTCTTTCCATTGCTTTACTCTCCTTTAAACTTATTCCACTTTCTTTTGTAAGCTAAGCCCTGAAAGCAATTCTACGTTCATGTCCCCTCCCTGTGGGAGAAATTAGTCACATTTTACTCAATCCTGCCTCAAGATCACTAGCCCAGGACTGAAGTTATGTTCTCCTGTTGCCTGCTGTCCAGTCGTGGTGAAGTCAGAGATCTTAAGCGGTTGGGTTAATTGGGGCTAGAATGAGCTTTGAGAGGCATGCTAATACTTTCCTTCCTTCACCCTCTAATCACTTTGGGGACCTGGTAAAGGAAAAGCAAGTTGATGTTCTTACCAAATTTATTTCATTCACAGGAGTCATACAATCTTTATGGGGTGCACCCCTTCTACCTGAGTATGGAGGAGGCAGGAACTGCTCATGGTGTTTTCCTCCTGAATAGCAATGCCATGGGTAAGTGGGGACTTCTGTTGCGCTGGAACATCTCCGTGGGTGAAGTCCTCAGGACGTAGTAGCTCCTATACCATTAGAGTGATCAGCAAGTATCTACTGTGTGGCCACTATGTACAAGGCGCTGTGCTGGGTGCTGCGAGTGGCACAAAAATGACTAAGACAGATTCCTTTCCCTCGAGAGGCTTACAGTAGGCAATGGCACTAAGGTAGACATGAATGAAAAGTGAAATAGCGGTAAAAGACAACATTTGTGAAAGAGAGACTAGATTCTATGGAAGAGAAATTGGATCACATGAAAGAGATTAGACTTGTTTTGCTAATCAAGCAATAAGCATTTATTAAGCACCTACTATGTATGAGGCACCTTCCTAAGCAATAGATATACAAAGAAGTAAAAAGACAAATCCCAGCTCTCAAGGAATTCACGGTCTAATGGGAGAAAACCACGTAAACAATTGTGCACAATAAGATAACACAGGATTTCAATGCTGTTGTTCAGTTGTTTCTGACTCTCGGTGACCCCATTCGGGATTTTCTTGGCAAAGACACTGGAGTGGTTTGCTGTTTCCTTCTCCAGCTCATTTACAGATGAGGAAACTGAGGTAAACAGGGTTAAGTGACTTGCCCAGAGTCATACAGCTAGTGTGTGAGGCCAAATTTGAACTCAAGTCTTCCCAACTTCAGACCTGGTACTTTGTCCACTTCACCACCTAGCTGCCCATCAATACAGTATAAATCGGAATTAATGTCAGGCACCAGAATTAAGGGGCATTGGGGAAAGCTTCTCAGAGAAGGTGTGATTTTAGCTGAGACTTTAAAGAAACTGGGAGGGAGAGATGAGAAGGGAAAGTCTTCCATGCATGCATGGAAGCACAGCCAGTGAAAATGCCTGGAGTCTGGAGATGGAGTGTCTTATCTGAGGAACAGCAGGGAGGCCGGTGTCACCGGTCTGAAGAGTCTGCGGCCAGTTTGTGAAGGGTGTTTCTATTGGAGTGACATGGTCAGATGAGTACTTTGGGAAGGTTAATTTGACAGCTGAGAAAGGTGGGCTGGAGTGGGGAGAGATGTGAGGCTTGGAGACCCTTCAGCAGGCTATTTCAATAGTCCAAGCTTGAGACGATGCGGGCTTGTGCCAGGTCGGTGGCAGTGTCAGAGGACAGAAGGAGTATATGTGAGAGATGTTACAAAGGTGAAATCAATTAGAATGCTAATGGAATGAACAAATCCAGGAAAGAAAGGAGGGAGAATGCTCTTTGTGGGGGATACCGAAGAAGGGTTGGTTAGTTGTTACAACCGAAGCTTTCTTTTTGATTCGGTTAGGCAAATGTAGAGGGTCTGCAGAGGCCTTCTGGCCTTGAATATAACCAGAGAAGGGGCCAATTTTTCAGGGTTAATTTGGGGCAAGAGAAATAGCCCAAGACCAGAAGGTGGCTGCTTGGCTGCCTTGGAGAACTGAGACATCTGTTTCCTGACCTGAGCCTGGTTCTTTAGCAATTTTTGAGCAGTTTAACCACATGCACACACAGTTGCTGAATCATTTGCTTAAAATTCCACTTTCCTTTATGCCCTTCCTCTGGCTCCCTGCGCCTCTCTGACCCCCTCCCCCACTACCTCAGTATCCTCAGAGAAGTATTTTCAAGCCCTTGGGGAAAGGGCAGCTTCTGGTTTGGAGATAGAAACCCACAACGTGCTTTGCACACAGCTGGGCCCTCCTGAGGATGAGCTGTGGACATTGTAGGCCTTCTCAGAGCCAACAGCCCAACTGCTGGACAGGGGAGTGAGTTTCCTCATGTCTCCCCTCTTCCTTTGGGGGATGAAATATGGCGCTCCCGCCTATCCTAGAGCAGGAGCTGCTGATCTCCTGACCTAAGATTTGATCAGCGGGTGGGAGCCATCTAGCAATGAATATGAATCTTGTTGTAAAAGTACAGCTTATTATTACCCAAATTTAGACATACAGATAGAAGGTCCATGTTCTAGACCTGCCTTTTCTACTAATTTGCTGTGTGACTTTAGGCAAATTTCTTTACCTTCCTGGGCCCTGGTCTCATCTGTAAAATGTTGTTTCCCTCAATTAGCATCTTGAGCAGAGGGGCTCTTTTATTTTTGGTCCTTGCATCTCTATGGTGCCTGTCATTTATAAATCTCTGAATAAATGCATTTTGAGTGAATGAATGAATACATTTAGGCAGCTAGTTGGGGTAGTGGACACAGTGCTAGAGTGGGAATCAGGAAGACGTGACACTGCCTCAGACACTTCCTAGCTGTGTGTCCCTGGGCAAGTCAGTTAACCCCGATCAGCCTGTTTCCTTATCTGTAAAATGGCTATAGTAATAGCAGTTATCTCAAAAGGTTGTTGTGAGGATCAAGTGAAGTAATATTTGTAAAGATCTCTGCAAACTTCAAAGTGCTATATAAATGATAGCTATTACCATCATTATTATGAGTAAAAAGATGTCACATCTGATGCCCTTTTCAACTCTGACATTCTCTGGTTCTCTGAAACCAGTAAAAAAGTATATTCAATAAACACACAGTGTGTTAACAGCTGACATTCATTTAAGATGTACAAAGTGCTTTGCACACATTAACTCATCTGATCCTCATAATAACCCTGTAAGATAGGGAGTACAAATGTTAATATACCCATTTTACAGATGAGGAAACAGGTTTAGTGGGATGAAAGTAACTTGCCCAGATCATGTGGTTCTGGCTCAGTGGCTGGGCCAGAATTTGAGCCAACGTCTCCTGGTTCCTAATCCACTACCCTGTGGGATGCTAAGTATCCTCAGAATTGGCTTCTCGAGTGAGCAGATCAAGGCTTATTATTCCTATTTCACAGATAGGGAAAACTGAGGCCCAGAGACTAAGTGACTTCTGAGTGTGTCGAAGTTAAGACCAGGGCCTGGGACTACCGGCTGAGGGACCCAACTTTTGACTCTGAAGCCAGTTCTTTTTCCACCGATTGTCTCTCTCTAACTATGTCATATAACAGTTGATAGATAAGGCAGAGGCTAGTCCTGTTCCTTGGCAAGATGTTCTGATATCAGGCCTAAGCTTCCTTCTTTGAAACTTCCGTCTAAGCGCCTGGTCTCTCCCCGGTTCCCCTAGTTGATCTTCACAAGGACTCAAGGCACCTTGCCTTCCTCACCTCCTGCAGGGCTACAGTTGTCAGGGATGACAGATATGACCTTGTTCCAGTCAGCAGCATCAGCAACTTCATGCTTCTCTCCCAAAAGCCATTGATTGATTTCTTCTCTCCTTGGGATGATGGTCAACATGGCCTAATTGATAGAAAGCTGGCTTTGTAAGTCAGGAGGACTGGGTTCGAGTCTCACCTCTTTCACATGCTGGTTGTGTGACCCTGGTCAAATCAATTAACCTCTCAGTGCTCTGGGAAACCCATTTATACTATATGTTGCAGAAAATGTGCCAATTTGCATGAACAGAGAGAGTTTCCTAGCCAGAGAGTTCACTACACAAGTGAAATCATAGGCAAAAGGGAACACCATCCTTTCAAGGCATCTGAATCCTAGTATTGTTATTCAGTCATGACCAACTCTTCATGACGCCATTTAGGGTTTTCTTGGCAAAGATACTGGAGTGGCTTGCCATTTCCTTTTCCAGATCATTTTACAGATGAGAAAACTGAGGCAAACAGGGGAAAGTGATTTGCCCACGGTCACACAGCTAGTAAGTTTCTGAGGCTGGATTTGAACTTGGGTCTTCCTGACTCAAGGCCCAGTGCTCTATCTACTGCCACCTTGCTGAATCACAGTAGGATGATATTAATTTCCGTTCTCTATTTCCCAAGAGGTGGTTCTGCAGCCTGCCCCTGCCCTGACATGGAGGACCGTGGGGGGGATTCTGGATTTTTACATCTTCTTGGGGCCAGATCCAAGCTCTGTGGTCCAGCAATACCAGCAGGTCATCGGTGAGTATCCCCACCTGTTTCTGCTCTACTTCTTCTTTTTCGCTCTGGTTTTCAGTGTCACCTTTTCCCAAAATCCTGCCTGGAGCGACCTTGGTGTCTGCCCTCAGTCGTATCCATCATGACGCAGTCACCTCCTCGGATTCTCTCCGAGTCATCACTGCTGCCTCGTCTTTCTCCGTCAGCAAGACAGTTGTTATCACTTGCTTTCTTGCCTGTCCCTGTCAAGGTGGTTGTTGCCGTAGAAATGCCAAGCTGGCTAGAATCCATAGTGAAGACAGGAGGAATGAGAAGGGAGGGCAGGCAATTCAGTTATCTTTCAGTAAATAAGTGGATTACAGACGAGTTTTCAAATTGTGCATGAAAAGGAGCTGGCAGGGATCTCTCATGAATCCTTAAGGACAGAGGTCTGTCCCACTGATTTGGGCTTAGAAAGTACCCTTGGAGCGTGTTGTAAACTTTTGTGTACAGTTAAGGTTAGAGCATCCTAAAAAGAAAGTTGGCATTTGCTCAGTGGCCTAAGTATTTCTTAAACTTTTCCAAGGTGAGGTAGCAGCAGTGCCCTGGAAATGCTTCCCAGTGGCCTGGCCTCTCAGATATTTACCCAGTCTTCTCTGTCTACCACCCTCTTATCCGAGGACTAGTCACACTCAGTGTGGACTCGTTGAAGGTCAGCCATATTGGAAAAGAGAATGGAACATACAGGAGAGATTCAGGTAAATGACAATTCTCTTTTCCAACATGGCTGACCTTCAATGAGTCTAGCCTCCCTCCCTTTTCCTTGTCCTTGTCCTTTTTTTAAGTATGGAACACTTCACGACTTTGCATGTCATCCGTGTGCAGGGGCCGTGCTAATCTCTGTACTGTGTGTGTGCTGCCAAAGAGAGCACCTCCCTCCCTATTTCTTGAGGGCAGCTAGAGGATGAGCTGGCCACCCCTTCAAGTACTACTTCAGCAGTGCATGACAGCTGGCTGACTGGCATCTTTGGCTCAGGTTTTTCTATGTGGAAGAGAAACCCCAGGCATGGGTAGAAGGAGTCTGGAGTGCATGTCCTTGGACAATCCTATGTGAAAATGTTCTCCCCAGCCTCCCTCAGCCCAACATAAGCTTTTGCCCTGTTACAGAGGGATACGAGCAGCTGAGGAACCATTTCATCATTCATCCCTTCACCAAATATTTATGAGAACATTTATTAGAACATAATATTTATTATACTAGATGTTAAGGGAAATGTAAATTTTAGATAACAAAAATCTGTTTTTTTTCTCCCTCCCACCTCTCTTGCCTCTGAGAAAACAATAACAACTCTAACAAATATGTGTAGTCAAGCAAAACAAATTTCTGCACTGTACTCACACATACACACACATACACACCCACACCCACACACAAAACCTTTTGTGCAGCTAGGTGGCACAGTGGATAGAGCACCGGGCTTAGAATCAGGAAGACTCATCTTCCTGAGTTCAAATGCAGTCTCAGGTCCTTACTAGCTGTGTGACCCAGGGCAAGTCACTTCACCCCATTTGCCTCAGTTTCCTCATCTGTAAAATGAGCTAGAGAAGGAATGACAAAGTACTACAGTTTCTTTGCCAAGAAAACCCCAAAATGGAGTCAGGACGGGTCAGACATTACTGAAACTACTAAAGAGCAACAAAAATATAAAGCCTAATACATACATACATATGTATGTATATATATATATGTATATATATATGCATATATATATATGTGTGTGTATGTATATATATATATATATATGTATGTATATATATAGTTTATGTGTGTGTGTGTGTGTGTATAGTCTAATTCTGCATCCTGATCCCATTGCTTCTCAGCAGGGGGGAGCAGTTATTGCATTATCAGAGCTCTTTAACAAGTCTTTTTTGCCTCCAGTCTTTCTTCCTAGCTACTCTTCATTGAATGCTGCTGGGATAATCTTTATTGTGCATCATCTTGTTCACAGGACTGCCCTTCTCAAAAACCTGCTTGTGCACGCAATTAGGTTTGAGTTCCTTTACCTGGCTTTCAGAATCCTCCTCAGTTTGATATCACTGCATCATTCTCACCTTGTCTCAAAGTACTACTCTCCAGATGGTCTCCGTGTTCCCCAGATGTATCATTGTGGCCTCCCTCCGCCTGTGTGCCTTCACCCATCCTTTGAATCTTTCCCTGAGTTCCTAGCCATCCTTTAAAGCCCATTTCAAATTCTGCGTCCTTTATGAAGCCTTCCTCAGTCCTTCCTCTCATTTCTTCCTATCCTCCCATGCTGATCAGTTATGAACATAGGGCTAGCTAAGTTGCAGAGTATGTGCCTTCTTATATCTCTTCTTTGGCCACAGATCTGGTCAGTATCTTCTGATAATATTCAGTTTATTGTTGCATTGCTGTTCATCCTGTTTAGGTCATTGTAGCTGTTTATGTTCTTTTCCTGGTTCTGCTTACTTTACTTCATATCAGCTCGTACGTGTCTTCCTATGCTTCTCCATCTTTATTCATCATAGTCATTTCTTAAAACACAGCAATTTTCCATTATCTTCCTGTACCATAATTTGTTTAGCCAGTCTCCGATTGATGGTATCTAATTTGCTTCTTGTTCTTTGATCCTGCAGAAAGGGCTGATATAATTATATTGGTGCATGTAAGGGAGCTGACCTACCCATTTTACTCAGGGAAGATTTGAACAACTGAGTCACATTTTTGGTTCCCTTTCATCAATCAGGAGCCCTTCTAGTTGCCGTCCTCACCATACTGACAAAGTGCCATCATTTCAGGCTTCCCTACTATGCCACCTTTCTGGGGACTTGGTTTCCATCTTTGCCGCTGGGGTTATGGTAGCAGTAACCAGACGTGGCAGACGGTGAAAAACATGAGGAACTATCTCATCCCACAGGTAAGGTCAGCCCACGAAGTGGTTCTGCTTCGTGGGACCCATCAGTCTGAGGTCCCTTGGCTTATCTCCTTGTGTCTCAGAGCCAGGAGGAGTGGAAATGTGGTGGACTGCAGGGCAGCCAGATAAGAAACAGAAAGATCCGACTAGGCAGTCTCATAAAGTCATATGGTTTAATGGAAAGCAAACACTGGCCTGAGAGTAAGGAGACCTCGCATCTAGTCATGACCTCAGTTTCCTTATCTTTAAGATGAAGGAGTCACCCTAGCTGAACTCAAAGGTTCCTTTCAGTTCTTTGTTGTTGTTGTCAGTCATTTCAGTCACGTCCGACTCTTTGTGACCCCATTTGGGGTTTTCTTGGCAAAGATACTGGAGTGGCTTGCTATTTCCTTCTCCAGGTCATTTACAGATGAGGAAATTGAAGTGAACAGGGTTAAGTGACTTGCCCAGGGTCACACAGCTAGTTAATGTCTGAGGCCAGATTTGAACTCAGGAAGATGAGTCTTCCTGATTCCAGGCCAGGCACTCTATCCTTTGTGTCACCTAGCTGCCCTCCCTTTAGTTCTAGTACACTATGATTCTAAATGTTCTCTTAGTTCTGACCTCCAGCCTGGATTTGGAATCTGAAGGTCTGGGTTTGTATTTTAACCCTGCTACCTATGTGACCTTGGGCAAGTCACTTACCCTTAGTAGTCTTCAGTTTTTTCATCTGTAAAATGATAGGGCTAGTCTAGTTGGCATCCATCTACGATCCCTGCGAGCTCTAAATCTTTGATCCCCAATGACTCCAAGAAGATTTCTGGTATCCCATGCAGTTCCCCTACTCTCTTTCTGGTTCTGGATGTCTGTCTCACTTCTCTGCTGTAAATTTTCCATGTAAGGGACCATCACCATTAGTGATGGTGAATGGAAGCCAGAATTTCTTCCTTGACCTGAATGAAGACAAAGATATTTGCTTTCTCAGGAAATTACTGGGCTGTCTCCACCAAGAAGGCTGGATGCCTCATGAGTATGGACTGCCGGAGTACAGCCTGGGTTAAAACCCATGTTAGAAGGACAAGGAATTGGTCTCGAGGTCCAAGGAAAGAGATGGAGGTAGAGAAATAGAATCAGGAAATAAGGAAGGGATGGAATGAGTAGTAAATCCACGTTCACAACACAGCCAGAGCAGAACAAGTAGGCATCCAAACTAGAATCAGGCAAGGTTCTACGTGCAATATTTCTGTGGGTAAGGAAGAACAGGGAGGAAAAAAATCAAGAAACATTAATCTTCAGATGAACAGCAATAGTATTTCAGTTTGACAACTGCCTGAGAATTAAGTGGATGCTCTTCCAGGTATGTGACCTCAGCCAAGCCTAGTGGCATCTCTGGCTCTCGTTTCTCTGTCTTTAAAATGGAGATAGCTCCAAATTTCCTTCAGAGAATATTTTTATTTATACACTGCTATGTGTAAGTCACTGTAACGGTGTTAAGCCAGATGCAAAGATGAATAAGAAATGGTTTGACACTTCAAGAAGCTTACCATCAATAGTAATAGGTCAGACAAAATATGTATAAAGATAAGTAGAAAACGAAGTAGAATGTGATCAGTGTTTGGAAGGGGTACAAACAAAATGCTGTAAGGGTACAAAAGAGAGATGGAACATTTCTGGGCAGGAGAATTAGGGGAGGCTTCAGTGAAGAGGTATGTTTAACATGTTTAATATTAATTCTTTTTTTTTTTAAGGCAATTGGGGTTAAGTGACTTGCCCAGGGTCACACAGCTAGTAAGTGTCAAGGCCGGATTTGAACTCAGGTCATCCTGACTTCAGGGTCAGTGCTCTATCCATTGCACCACCTAGCTGCCCCTTAATATTAATTCTTAAAGGATGGATAGTATTTCAATGGTCAGGACAGTGGTAAGGTCCATTCCAGATGTAGGGACCTGTGTGAGCAAAATTATGGAGGCATGAAAGTACTTACTGTGTATTGGGATTAGTCTAGTTTGGGTAGCATAGTGTTGGGGAGTAGGAGTGTATGGGCACGCTTTGGAATAGGTGCTATGTGCAGGGAACATGCTAGAAAGTAAAAAAAAAAAGATGAAGGAAAGGATGTCAAAGTAACTGTGAGGACTGAAAGAAAGAATAAGCCTATAGGGGACGAATCCACATGATTTTGTACCTATCTCTAAGAATATTAAAAAGCTGGAAGGAGGGGAATGTTGATGATGAAGGTTATCCAGGAACCAGGACTGGCCAGATTTCCAGGGTGTGGTGAAGCATCATTGAAATGATTAACCATGGGGTATAGGCTAGGCAGGAAGTAAAAAATGGAGCCAGAAAGGAAATAGTAGTAGGGAGGAAGGGAGAGATGGCAGAATGAGGGAACAGGGAGGATATGAAAGGACCAGTGGTAGTGGTGAGATTGAAGAATAAGCCCAGTAGGTAGTGTGTAAGCTCCTTGAAGGCAGGATGTTTAAAAGTTTTGTTCTTTTGTCTGAAGCACCTCACAAAGTGCCTAGAACATCGTAAACACTTAATAAATACCCATTGACTAATTGAATGATTGACAGGCGGGAGGGAGTAGGAAGTCTGAAAGGCTAGGGAAACTGGGATCAAAGAGAGGAAAGCTCAGAAGTAGAGCTCTTAGAGGTGAGGAAGTTCCTAGTAATTGTGAGGTCCCAGGTGGCCAAAGTGGAGTGGACACTGAGGTCGTGAAATATAAAGCAGCTCAAAGCTGAGGCCAGGGTGTCAGAGCTGGTGCCAAGTTTTTATTGATGAATCTCACAAACTTAGCTAGTCTGGCATGTGAACAACAGGTATTTATAGGTGGTATGAATAGGAAAGAATGCTAGACTTGGAGTACGGGAGATCTGAGTTTAAGTCTAGCTTCAGATATTTACTGGGTACGCGATCCAGGACAAGTCACTTTACCTCTCTTTGCCTCCATTTCTTCATCTGTAAAATAGCAGCTACCTCCCAGGACTGCTATGAGTATGAAATGGAATAAAAGCCTATTGCAACCTAAAGGCACTATATAAATGTTAACTATTGTTCTGTATTTTATTGCTGGCTCTTTACTCACCTATAGAGCTTTTGATAACCCAGGCTCACCTCTACACTGTGATGATTTCATGGATGAATGGGGCATTAGTGGAGGAAGAGGTATATATGTGAAAAGTGCATAAAATAAAACATGTATACAATCTAAGGGAGGTCATTAGACAATTTATGGTTAAGTGCCAAGCATACAACAGGTAAAAGCTATGAACTCAGAGGAGGGTCTGAGGGTCAGAGTAGGGCTGAAGTTGGTTCAACATCTCACCATATTTCCTAATTTTATTTATTCTTCTAATTTGGTATTGGCTTTGATCCATGCTGTTACATGTCAATGGTCTGACTGTACATAGATAGCTGATTGGAAATGACTACTACCTCATTTCTGGTCTGTTAAAATATAACGAAGCTCCATTTTTTGTGAGGCAGTTGGGGTTAAGTGACTTGCCTAGGGTCATACAGCTAGTGAGTGTTATGTGTCTGAGGCAGGATTTGAACTCAGGTCCTCCTGACTGCAGGGCCAGTGCTGTATTCACTGTGCCATCTAACTGCCCCCTGTGATGTTCTTTGATGCTCACAACGTTCATCACCTCCCAACTGTATGCTTGCAGAACGTATTCGTCATACATAAGTGTGAGACTTCTGTATTTTTTACAAGCCTTTAGTCCTTCTTGTTTCTTATTCCTGAAACGCATTTTCCAATACAATCTTGGTTATCTTCTATACTCACCTTTGCACTGAATCTCTGAATGTTAAAATATTTGTTGATTTAATTTTGTTTTTATTTATTTATTTTTTAAAATTTTACTTTATTTTATTTTTAATTCTTAATTCTCTCCCTACTCCCCTTTTCCAACCTCTAAGAAGCAAAAAGAACCTAAACCCATTAAAAATATGTATATTCACCCAAAACAAATTCCCACATTAATCATCCAAAAGAAAAAAGAAGAAAGAAAAGGAAAAGAAAGGGAAGAAAATATGCTTCAATCTTTAGTTTGAGTTGATCAGCTCTTTATCTGGAGGCCAAAAGCATGTTCCATCATGAGTCCCTTGGAATTATGGTTGGTCATTATTATTATTGTTATTAATTCTTTCATAGTTGACTATTTTACAATATTATTGTTATTATATCAATTTTTCTTCTGGTTGTACTTACTTTACTTTGCATCCCTTTGTACAAGTCTTTCCAGGTTTTTCTAAAACCATTTTTAAGATCATTTCTTATAGCTAATATTATATTCCATCACATTAATATACCATAACTTGTTTGGCCATTTCCCAATTGACAGAAATACCTTCAGTTTCCAATTCTTTTCTACCATACACACAAAAACGCTGCTATAAATATTTTTCTACATATGAATCCTTTTTCTCTCTCTTTCATCTCTTTGGGGATATAGACTTATTAGTGGTACTTTTGAGTCAAAGGGTATGCCCAATTTCATATTTTTTGGGGCATAGGTCCAAATTGCTTTCCAGAAAGGCTGGACCAGTTCAGTGCTCCACCAATATTGCATTAAAGTACCTGTTTCCCCACAGTCCCTCCAGAGTTTGTCATTTTCCTTTTCTGTCATCTTAGCCAATATGATGGGTGTGAAGTGGTACCTTAGAATTGTTTTAACTTCTATTTCTCTAATTATTAGTGACTTAGAACATTTTAAAAAATATAGCTATTGATAGTTTAGATTTCTTCCCTTGCAAACTGACCACATATGTTGATTTAATTTTGAGGGCCTTATGGCACTCTCTGGAATTTCTCATCAACAGATTATAACCTCAAGCAAATCACTTAAGATCCCTGGACCTCAGTTTCCTCAACTCTAAAATGAAGGGGCTGGATTAAATAATCAGTGAGCCAATACTATCATATAGGTTCATAAACTGTAGTCATCTTCATGGTATGTGGTTTATTTTTCTTTTGGTAAAGGTTTATCATGAGCAAAGATGTACAAAATGGCCAAGTTTTC